CAGGTTCTGTGAAGAGGAGGGCAAAACCAACAAGAGATTTAGTGGCTGCATACTGCATTATATCTCTCCGTGACACAGTAACGGTTTTTGGTGCTTGTAGTATTTGCACTTGCTCACTCTTCACCTGCAAAAGATGCAGAAAAATGTGTTTCAGAAAATGCTTCCACAGAACAAATTTGAATCCTAGGTACATTATTTCAGTCAGATGAAACAGTTTCTTTTTTCTGCACACAATTTGAGGGGAAATCAAAAGAACTGCAATACAGCCTGCATAAGCTCAGAAAATATATCAGAACACCAAGGAATAGTGGTCCTGAACTAATAGACCCTATAAAGGCTCACACTGAATGAGTTTCACAACTGGTGCAACATCTTCTATGGCATCAAATTCTTAATAATGCGGCTGCCAAATATAAATTATGATTAAACTGTAATAACTAATGGTAACTAGTAAGGACACATTTTAAGAAATCTGGTGATAACTTAGTCGTCAATATCATCAAAATATCTTCATAGAAAACAGATGTATCTTAATTTCAACCAGCATTGTAATATAAGATTGAACGTTACACGCAAGAAATTTTAGATTAACTTATTTTATTTACTTCCCTAAGTTTTGAGTCTTGACAAATCACTCTGTAGATTGGAGACCTTACCTCCACCCAAGGAATTCATTGAGCATGAAGTAACCTGCCAAGGTAACTGGCCAATAGAGACGGTTCAACAGCATATCAATAGGATATTTCAGTCCAAGAAGAAATGAGCTTGATTCGTCTAGATTCCATCCAGAATTATAATCACGATCTATATCGAATAATGTCTCTATCTAAGTACTACTATGATAACACCATGCTTGTACAAAGTACTCATTGTTTTGATTAAGACAGTGAATTAGACCACTTTCTTGTTTCACTTTTCAGCTATGGAGTTTGATAGGGACAAAGTTCCTGAAACAAATCATTGGATTCAAGATCCTGTAGTTTGATAAATTCAGAATAAACTGTGGTATTTCCAACTTCATAGAGTGAAAAATGACTGCAATATCAAACAGGGCCAAGCCAGAGTATCTGTGCTAACTTTGACATAATTTAGGCATTTTAAAATTGAAAAGGGAAGTTAATAAGCAAAACAAGTGTTTGTAACCTTACCTTATCATACTATTATGAGAACTTCCAAGCTGTTTTTTCAACAAAAAGTAATAGGTTAACATAACATAGAAGTGAAATGGAGAAAGACCAAATGAACAACTCAAGAAACATCGATAATGATAATGAAAACATTGAATTATTATATCATATGGCCTTCAATATGAGATGCAGATTTGGAGTAACGTGTATCATCTGCTCGGTACCAAAAGTACAGAACCATCAGCCTTGTCATGATCAGAGACCCTAATTAATTGCATGTTCTATAATATATAGCTGGCAACTTAACTCATATTGTAAAGCTCCAAAGACATGATATGTAATCAAATAACTTTTCAAAACCACATTAGTTCAATTTCACATGGGACAGAAAACGTCCAGTTGCAATGGGCAATGCTATAAAAGATGGAGAGATGGAGAGATTCTTAAACTAGTAGGACTAATTACAATGCTAACATATACTAAGCCACTATTTTATTACTTGACACATGATAAGGAACAACACATAAACTTCCCCAAACGCTTTGATCTTAGGATAACCAGATATAGTCTGAGGGAATGTAGCCATAATATAATTATTCCCCATTTAACTGGTAAAGAGAGTAAAGGGTAAAGAATCAAGTTCCTTTGAAATTTCAAATACTGAGAAAAGACAGACCATAGAACATTTACTTCCATTCAATCAAAGAAAAGCTATGGAGCACAGAAAGTTATTAACTTTTCATTGTAGCTGTGATGATTAACAAGACCAAGACCGAAAATGGGCACATACAATATAATTGTTGGCATTTCCATATCTTTATATAATCTAAAAATTCATGAGGGGTTTTACTAATTAATAAAGCAGTAGCCAAATATAACAATGCATTTATGAACTCTAACAAAAACTTAACAATTATCATGACCAAAGACTTCTTCTTTCCACAATCTAATAAGCAAAAAAGGAACAAAAATTAAAAAACTTGGGAATAAGAGAACAACGCTTCAGCCGAAGGGAAATTTCAGAAAAATCTCATCTTAATTTACATTTTTGTCTTCCCAGTTCATATCTTGGTGGCTATTGAGACAAAACAAAAGGGATTTTAATGGAGAGATTATGGGTTGCAAACCTGAAAAGATAAAAAGGCTCTCTTTCTAGCCGTCGCCGTTGGCTGCCTGATGGGTAAACCTCTTTCTCCTGCCGCCGGAGGAAGTGGGCTTGGAAATAGCTTCAACTTGGAGGATGCCATGATCTGTCCAGCGTTTAACCGGCCCCTTCAGCCCTGATTCGGTGTATAGGCTCTTTATTTTGTCTTTTTACTACAAAGCTCCAGTACATACCCAGTGAGAAAGGTGTTTTACAGAATCTCACTGGACTTTTAATTGAAATTATTAAAATATTATTAATAAATAAAATAAATATATAATATAATTTTATTAAAAATATTTTAATAATTTTATCATTTCAATGGTATAAAAAAGTCCAATTTATATTAAAAAAGTTAAATTACTATTTTAGTCCCTTAACTTTTTATTTTAGCACTAAAATTATCCTTTAACTTTAAAAAATATCAAAATTATTCTTAAACTTTCATTTTCGATACCAAAATAATCCTGTACCAAAATAGTCCTTCCGTAAGTTAAATTACAAGTTTCAGTTAAATGACAAGTTTCACGTTATCTTGCCAGCAAATCAATTCATTTTTTGCTTAACTAATGACATGGAAAAAAAATCATAATTAAGCTATGAGTTGGCATTAGTTGGCATTTTTATTTAATTTTAAAATAATAATTTTTTTTCATCACGTCATTTCTTCTTCCTCTTTCACTTTGTCTCTCCTTTTCCTTTACCTCTACAAACCAGATCTGGGTTCTACCTCAAACTTCATCTTCTTCCTCCTTTCCTCCTCCCTCCTCATCCTTCTTTTTTCTTCTTCTTATTCTTTCTTTCTCTCTCTTCTCCCTTCTTCTTCTTCTCTC